AACATTCAGGTTAAGGCAGGAGGGTGTTCAGTTCAAGGCAAGCCTGGGCTATAAAACGAGATCCTGTCTCAAAACAGCAAGTGCTCGAGGAGGAGCTGTAGCACCGAGGGAAGAGAAGCTTAGGTGAGTTTATGGAAAAGACCACATTGCTAATAATCTTCCCCAGATCAAAGGAAATAAGCCTGAGAGGTTTCTGTTTCTAACTGAGAAGGGAAAGCATGCCTTGATGGACTAATGAACTTGAACTACTGCTTACAGAGTCATCTGGGGACAGATATATGAGTAGATTTAAAACTCAAAGTAGAAGCATTGGCAATGAAAGAAAATAAATTGGACTTTATTAAAATTACAGACAATTGTTTAAAAACAAAAACAAAAACAAACTAACCAGAAAATGAGAAGATCATCAAAAAAATCAAAGAATGGGATATTTGCACAGATGTATTTGATATAAAGATCCCAGCATCACAGAGCCAAAGGACTTGGGTAGACATTTCCCCCAAAAGTATATACATGGCCATCAGGTACATAGAAAGATACTAAATAACAGAACTCATCAGGGAATTCAAACCAAACCTGAAGGACATAGCATTTCACAATCTCTAAAGTTGTGATGTTCTGAAAAATGGAAAATAACAAGTGTTGGTGAGGAGGGAGAGAAATTGCAGAGAGATTTCAGGTACGAATGTAAGACAGTATGGGCTCTATTAAAAAGTCTGGCAGGTCCTCAAAAAGATAACTAGAATTATCATAATTCCCCAATAGTTCTACTTCTAGGTATCTTTAAAAAGGAAATGAAAGCTGGGCAGTGGTGGCGCACGCCTTTAGTTCCAGCACTTGGGAGGCAGAGGCAGGTAGATTTCTGAGTTCGAGGCCAGCCTGGTCTACAGAATTAGTTCCAGGACAGCCAGGGCTACACAGAGAAACCCTGTCTTCAAACCACCCCCCCAAAAGAAAGAAATGAAAATAGATATCCATGCAACTGAAGTTCACAAATGCATTATTTGTACCAAAATGTAGAAACAACTTAAATACAAAGCAACAGACAGCTAGGTAAGGAAAACCTGTGAATACTTACAGGATATTATTATTCATAAATAGGATATTATTCAATCATAAAAAGGTTAAATACTGACACCTGCTATAAGATGAGCCCAGAAAAGATTGTTAAGTGAAATAAACCACAAAGGAAAGACTATTATGAGATTCCATTTATATGAAACATCCTAAACAGGTAAACTCATCATTTAAAAATAAGGTACATTAATAGTTATCAGAGGCTGAGAAGAGAGGGAAGAGAGAGACATATCATCTGAAGAAAAGAAATGTGGATGCTGATGACAGTTATATAACACTGAACTGCACTCAAAACAGATACCCATGTGTGGTGGCACATTGCTCCTACCACCCAGGAGGCAGAGGCAGGCAGATCTCTGAGTTTGAAGCTAGCTTGGTCTACAGAGTCAGGACAGCCAGGGCTACACAGAAAGATCTTGTCTTGAATAACAGTAACAAAAACAAATAACAACAAAAAAGGTTAATATCATATTTATGATAATTTCTTAAATAAAACAAGAAAAGGATAAAAAATTCCTACTACCATTCTAAGGTAGATGATGTGGAGGACATTATTTAGTTTCTTCAGGCTTCAATCTTTACCTACAGTATAGGGTTGACTGATATCCACCTCAAAGAATTGTAGACTCAATGCATCTATTAATCCCTTAGCACAAGACATGTTACATAATAAACACCAGATAAATACGGTAGATTTTATAATTCCAAAGACATTGTTACTCACTGAGTAGGTGTCTGTAAGGCTGCTATAAACGGGTATCTGAAAGAACTACAGAACGATGCAAAGACATTCTGAAGTAATGATTAAAGCAACACATGTCCAGCATTTGACTAGCTTCCTGAGAGCCTAAGAACCTGCAGATACCAGAACCAGTTCTCTTGGGTGTCACTGAAGAGCTAACTAAAGAAATGAACTAAGAAAAAAAGCACACTGGCTTGCCTTCAATTATTGTATTGATGTTCTCCATAAATATTTATTTTAAAAAATCATAAAGGGACCAGAGTAAAGGCTCCAGAGTTCAATCGACCAACATGGTGGAAGAAGAGAACCAAAAATTGTCTTTACATCCACCACGCATGTGTGCAGTACACACACACCTTTACCCCTTGTCTATAGGTCCTAAGTACCAAGTCCAGCTTCACAATGCCATCACTAAAAAGAGAACCACAGAAAATATGCTATTAAAAAAAATGCCCCAACCATGGAAGACTCAAGGAAATGAAAATGTGGAGAGTACATTAGCTAATCTTGAATCTATAATAGACCTATCTTGTTTAAAATTAAGCATTAAAAAAAAAAAGACTAAGTACCTTAAAACTCAAACTTGAATTCTAGAGAAGGTAGATGAGAAGAACTATAGATAGCAACTATAGATAGCATCAATGACTCAAACAGTAATACAAATCTTAGTGTGAGAGTGAAGCCACTTCCACAGTGTTATAATGTTCTTGTAAGAATTCTCCAAATTCACAGAAGTAATCTACCTAAGAAGGCTTTTTTGGGTATTTTTATACTCACATTAAAAATACTTGGATTTGCTGGGCAGTAGTGGCACACGCCTTTAATCCCAGCACTTGGGAGGCAGAGGTAGGCGGATTTCTGAGTTCGAGGACAGCCTGGTCTACAGAGTGAGTTCCAGGATAGCCAGGGCTACGCAGAGAAACCCTGTCTCGAAAACACCCCCCCCCCAAAAAAAAATACTTGGATTCAGATGGAAAAGGAAAATAAAATATCCAAGTATTTTAGATTATATCTGTTATGAACCAGCTGACTTGGAAAGGCTGGGGTCATTCTAAAATGGTGGTGCACACATAGTACTATGAATGTTAACTTTCATGAAACACACCTGAAGGCTGCATTATATACTCCATGTTGATAAAAATGCTATAATTCAATATAACCAGATTAAAACTGCTGATGTTTGAAAAGCTAAGATCTTTGCCAACACCCTTAGGAAAAAAGTTATTCCCTTCCAAACAACAAAAAAAGAACCGTTAACATGTTAAACTGAAACACAGAGCACAGTAACTTTTTGTTGGTTTTGGTAACACGATTTTGCTATGCAGCCAGGACTGGCCCGGAACTTAAGATCATCTAGCTGCGGCCAACCCGAGTTCCTGGCCCCAGTTAGCTCTTACCTCTCATGACAGTAATGGAGAACAAAGGCTTCCAAAATTAAATTCCAGAAAGAATTCTTTTATCCCCTACAGATCCGTTTTCTGCCAGCTACACCAGGGCTATCCTGGATCCTTTCCCCAGAAGAAAAGGAGGTACTCCCTCTTTAAAACTTCTCTTTAGGAAAACAGCAGATTATGGTCCGGAAAACTTAAATGCTGAAAGAAACTGATACTAGAGCTAACTAACTGTAGGCCACTGGTAGTAATTGTCTAAAGCTAGGATTTCATGCTTCTAAAACCCCATGCTAAGATTGTGATTGGATCCTAAGTTGCACTGCCAAAAGGGTTAAACTGGCTCAATCTTAAAGGAATATTATAGCTTTAACATAAGTGAAAGTTAAACTGAATGCTAGTAAGTGCTAGCATGCTTAACTGGTACCATCTGATCACTGAGCTCCCCTTAGTCCAGTGTTATCACGTCCTTCCTACACTTGGGCTTTGTTGTCACAGAGGATCTCACCAAAGTAAATAGGCTGTGACAAGAAATGCACTACAAAGGAGCATGTCCATGGACTACTTTTTCAAGACAATTTTCATTTGAGTTCTCAAATAACTTGTCCAACATCCCGTGACAGAGATTTTAGTGAAGTGGCATGGCTAAACATCACATAAAACGGGAAATGTCGCCCGGCAGTGGTGGCGCACGCCTTTAATCCCATCACTTGGGAGGCAGAAGCAGGCGGATTTCTGAGTTCGAGAGTTCAAGGCCAGCCTGGTCTACAGAGTGAGTTCCAGGACAGCCAGGGCCACACAGAGAAACCCTGTCTCAAAAAACCAACCAACCAAACAAACAAACCAACAAAGCAAAACAAAACAAAAAAACCGGGAAATGTCTTGTAAAAAAGTTAAGTGCTCAGGATTCATGGGCAGGCACCTGGTCTCAAGGTGTGAAAAGATGTCACCCGCCTATTCCCAAGCAACTAAACAGCTTAAAATATGCACCCGATTTGAAGGCACCCAATACAAGGTTCGAATCAAATCAGGTTATCTTTGTCATTCCCTGGTGGCTCTTTTCTACAATGTTCGAACTTCTACACATTCTATATAATGAATGGGCTCTGCACTTTTAAGGTCAATAAAAGTAGAGTCAACCTTACCCTCCTATCCCTCTACAACTACTAAGAATGGAATTAAGAGACCTCTCTCATCACGGTTACGATAACCGAGAAGTGCGAGCCGCGTTGGAAAACTTTTATTCAAAGCACTAATCTTATACTGGGGTACACTTTATCCTGCACGTTCTCCTTTTACGTAAGACACATCGGAATTTGACGAGTGCGTCCCGACTGCACATTGGGCTAACGCCCCTGGCAGCAGCAGAGAGCCACGTTTTCCTTGGGCCGATCGTCTCCCCCCTCCTCCTTAAAACACTGCCCATGGCCACTTAGAGACTTCCCCAGCCCAGCTCCAGAAACTGGAACCAACCGGGGCAGCTGTCATCCGAAACTCGGGAAAGCTGAGCCCGGCCAACTCTGCCGACGCGGGAAGGGCTGGGGGTGCCGTGGGGCCCGTCGGGGGCACTCCGGACTGTCCCCCTCCCCGGCCCCACGAGTCGCCATCCGGCCGCCGAGTTGTCCTCCGAGCTACAGTCCCCCCAAGCTAGGCCTAGGCCCGCGGTCCCGCGTGGGGCCCGAAGCGCGTGGCGGGGCCGACGCAGAGCAAAACGACAAAGGGGCGCGGGGTCGGGACAGGTGGCCGCCGCCGCGAACAATGGGGGGCCGTGGCCGCCCCCTGGCGCCACCTACCTCCCGTGCCGTCCGAGTTCTCGTTGAGGCTGCCCGAGGAGTCGTGCTGGGCGCCCACGCACCCGCCCATGGGGCCGCGGCCGCCACCTCAGGGCGCTCGTCCCGGCCGCCGCCTCAGCCTGCTCCCGCGTCGCCTTCTCGGGCCAGGCGCCGCTCTCTCGCCGCTCAGCCTCCGCCCCCTCGCCGCTCCTCCCACCGCCTCGCCCAGCCCCTTCCTCCGCGCCCACTTCTACCTCAGCCCCCCGGCCGCCTGGCCCGCAGGCCCGGCCCGCGTGCCGTCCTCGGCTCCCGCTCGGCCCCGCCAGGCCGGGCTTGGCCCATCCCGGGCGGGCCGCAGCGCCCGCTCGCCCCTCGCGCCCCCGCGTCTAGGCAAGCCCCACCACCGCCGCCGCCGCCGCCGCCGCCCGGCAGCCAGGCCCCATCGACCCCGCCCGCGGCGCCGCCCTCAGCCCGGCTCGGCTTGCGCTCGGCCGGCCCACTGGAACGGCCTCGAGGGGCGGGGCCGCGCACTGATTGGCTGCATGCGCCGAAGGGGCGGGGAATACCGAGCTGAACCGAGTGGAGCCGAGCGCCCGAGGCCGGGAGAGTAGGGGGCAAGCGGAGGTGGGCCGGAAAGAAGGGGAGGACTCAAGTAAGGTCGAAGTGGCCAGTTCGTCCTTACTTGAAGACGAGGTGGGGCTCCTTCTGGTGTGCCGGTGGGAGAGGGTACCGAGGAGTCGTAGGAGACTCGGGGTCGTGGACGGGCTGGGCGTGCTTAGAGGGATTGGCCTGACCGCAAGTCCCTGCACCCCTTGAATTTGTGGAGGCAGCGGGCTGGCCGCCGAGTCTGGGCTTCCCTTACCCCCCCGAGCCCCACCCCCGGTCCGCAGCCCCTGCCATCACTGTGCCCGCTTGGTAGAAGTGTTCTCTCATTGTGCAGGCCTGCTGTCCCGTGCGGGGAGCGAAGGGGCACGGGTGTGTGTGTCGTTCTCACAGGCTTCGTTTTACAGACAATACTACTATTCTAGATCCTGGCGTTAGACATCTTAAGTCTTCTTTAGAACAAAGTGAAGTATTCATATTCTGCATTTTATAAACTAGAATTTGGTACATTGACCACGCCCAACATTCTTGGCGGTTACCATCCCAACCTAAGCCAAACTGTTAATGGCCCCTTTGGAGTTCGGCTTCTTGCTGTGGCGCCTTAACGTTTTTATCGGCCTGCTTGGGTCTTTGAAAGCTTTTTTTTTTTTTTTTCCTAAGCTGTTATAACTATGTTCTACTTTTATGCCAGACTTTCCTTTTATAAAACCCTGGGTCAGCTTTTGCTTAGCATTAAAAAAAATTTTTTATAAGTGAAATACCTAAGAAAGAGACACTCTGTTTCTTAGGATTTGCATTTAAATGTATTCTCGTGCACTGCTGGTGGGAGTGTAAATTGGTTCAATTTTTTTGCAAAGGTTTGGCAGTGCCAATCAACAGCTTTAAAAATGTTCTTACCATGTGAGTGGGGGTTATTTCACATCTGGGAATATAGCTCTCAGAAACAGTCCAAATTAAAATTTGAGGTCTGGTATTCATTTGATGGGTAGGCAAAAATGAGGGTTAAACAAACAAAGCTCTGAATTTATGTAAAAACTCAGAAATAGAAGTCCACTATTTTGTACTTAATGCTGAAGGGATTAGCTTTACTCTCACTGTAGTCCTGAGGGGGGGGGGAAAGGCAGTGTACAGTTAGATGTTGTTATGGATTTTCAAAGATTGCTTTTCCATAAGTGCTTCGTAAGGGCCATGTCACAGAGCCGTCTATCTGATCCTTCCCAGCTGAATGCTCACGTTGTCAGATACTAGTCACTTTATCTCTTCCCTGAAGGAGAGAGACTGCCTGAGTATTTGCAAAGAGATTGCTTTGTCCTGAATTTCACTCCAGAAATTGCAGCAACCAAGACTTCTACGATGTCTATTAAACAGATGGTAGGCACCCAAATGCTAAGGGCTTTCTGCTGAGCAGTACACTGGCGCCAGCAAGAGAGAGCAATCTAGTGGAAAGATTCTTTGCAGTGCTTCCTCGCCATCCTGCCTGCATCTTAGAACGGAGACACATGTTCCCAGGAGCAGAGTCATGTAGCCGTAACACGGCCCCAGCTCTGCCATTAACTTCCTGGGTTGGAATATGGCTTCCATCTTGTACTCCCTGTATGACTTTAACTTTCTGTAGAGCCCAGACTTCTTGCCTGTAAAACAGGGGCCAGCAATAGTGCTTCAAGCGCTGTAGGTGCACCGTGTTAAATCCATATCCAGCCTCACCTATCTAAATTCATTGCCTATCCCAACCTATCTGACCCCTAAGAAACATGTTCATACATTTATAGCTCTATGATTATATATGTGTATATACATGTATATCTATATGATTCTCTGTAGATAAATGATTGCTCTATGTCCCCCCCCCCTTTTCCTTTTCTTTAAGATGGTCTCACGTGTAGCTTTGGCTGATCTCACACTCACAGAGATCTGCCTTCCTCTTGTCTGCTGAGTGCTGGGATGAATGGCATGAACCATTATACCCAACTCTGTGTGTGTGTTTCTGTGTGTGTGTTTCTCTGTGTGTGTGTTTATTCGTGTGTCTGTGCAAGACTGTGGAGGCTAGAAAACGACTTTGGGTGTTATTCCTTAAGGGTTGTCCACTGAGTTTTATGTGTGCGGATACATGTGAGTGCCTGTAGAGGCCACTCTCTCTTCACCTTGATGCCCAGTCCAAAAAAAAAGGTGACTAGCAATGGAGGAAAGACACCCAATGTCAACCTCTGTCCTTTGTGTGCACACACAAGCAATGCACACAGCACACACCCACCTAATAGCTTTCTGTAATAACTTTCAGAAACAATATACAATATACACTCCCCCTACAATTTTTAAAAGTAATAAAAAATTTAAAAATTAAATCCATGGCCATTTGTGTTTAAAATGTATTTTTTTTTTTCATGGACTCTCAGTTGTTGCTGTTTTGGACACCATCTACCCTTGTAGCTCACAACCAGACCTGATCTCTCAGTTTTAAGTCTTTGATCTTTATGCCATGAGTATTCAAGTTCAGTGGACTAGGTTACTGCAGCTCTACTGTAAATTTTAAATTTGTCCCTTTTTTTTTCCCTTTCTTTTTGAGATGCGGGTCTTTTAGTCTCATCATGTTTCTCAGGCTAACCTCAAATTCCCAGGCTCAAATCATCATAGCCCTACCCCTGTCCCCACCCTCACCCCTACCCCCACCCCCAGCCTCTAGAGGAGCTGGAACTACTTATATTTGCTATTGCACATGGCTTGTTCTTTTCCAAGCTTGTTTTGTTTATTCTGGGTGCTTTGGCTTTCTGTATGAATTTTAGGATCGGCTTGCCCATTTCTGGAAAAGCAGCAGCTGGGATTTTGATGGTAAATGTGTTGGGTCTGTGGATGGTGAGTGCCCAAGTACTGCCATTTTGACAGCGTTATGCCTTCAGTTTGAAACGTGGATATTTCCCCCTCATTTGTGTCTTAAGTTTTTTCCCATAGTCGTGGTTTTCAGTGTCACATCTTGGGTTTTGTCACATTTGTTTCTAAATTTCCTTTGCCATGCTGCTGTAGCTGGATCTGTCACCTTCAACAGATCATTTGTGGCAAATGTATAGAAATGCAGTTGATTTTTGCACTGTGGTCATGGATGGTTGTAATGGAGAAGAATTCACTTATTCTACTTGTCTTTGTGTCATGAATTTGGGGCATCTGTGTTGTGGTGTGCTTAATGCTGCTGTGTCCCCATTGACGCCTTACTCAGCCATTTCCAGGGAGAACCAGCAACAGTGCACAGGGATTGGAGAAGAGAAGTGACAGAGAATGAGGAGCCATGGTGGCAAGCATTGGAAAGGAGTCAGCCTCGTGGGCAGCCTGGAACAGTCTTTCTTTCCCATAGGGTCTGATTCACTTGGTCTGGAGTGGATCCCAGGAACCACTGTCTTTAACCCACACAGCAGGCATTTCCTATTGGAGTTTGGGCTATAGATGGAGTTTTTGTCTAGGACAAAATTTAGTCCTTTCCCTCCATGCCAGACTATGTTTTGTTTGAGGCATTTCTCTCCTCACCATTCCTTCATTTCTGTAAGTCCAAATTCTACAAGTTGCAGGCCATTTCTCCACCCAAGCCATGGTCAAATCCCCTTTCCTTTATTCATAAAACGTAATACTGAATACTTGTTCTGGCTCAGTTCCTTCCTGCCTCCTCCTGCAGTATTTTGACTTTATGGAAGACAAAAGAGACTTCCAAATAACAGAGGAGTGGCAGAGAATAAGACACTCACTGTAAGCCAGGCATGGTGGCTTTAATCCAAGTGCTCAGAATTCAGAGGCAATAGGATCTCTGAGTTGGAGGCTAGCCTGGACTACAAGAGCAGAGTGAGTTCCAGGACAGCCAGGGAGAAACTCTTTCTTGGGAAAAAAAAAGAAGAAGAAGAAAGAGAGAAGGGAAAGGAAAGAAGAGAAAAAGGAGGAGAAAGAGAAAAGGAAGAAGAGGAAGGAAGGAAGAAAGAAACAAAGAAACAAAGGAAGAAGAGAAAGAAAAAGAGAAAGAAAGAAAAGAAAGATTAGTTAGTTGTCGTTGTGTAGGTCTGAGCCAGCTTGAGAAGGAGGGCCCCTGTAAGGAGAGCCAGATCTTGGAGAGAACATGGCTAGGCGACCAGCAGAGAAGTTCCTAGTGAGCTATACTAGTGGAAGTTGTTGGAAATCTTACCCTCAGGACTGGCTGGAGAGCTGCCTTGTGAATACGGAGCAGCTTTTAATCAGATAGGTCAAGCTCCTAGCAGCTGCCAGTGCTGATGAGCCAGCACTGAAACAGCCCCATCAACCACTCAGCAGAGAAGCTCTCTCAACCATGAGCAGGCTCTGGAGAGGCTGTCCACATCTAGGAACCTGGCAGCAAAGAAGCCGCCCTTGCTCCAAGAAGCAGGGGAGCCTAGAAAGAGAGCAAAGGGGACAGCCTCCTGCAGTGTCTCTATAGTGCCCTCTACTGTCAAAGCTAAACATGTCTTTCCACAGAGCAGACAAGAATGAACTCAGACCTGAGATAGAATAGTTTGATA